GACGGCCCTAGACTGCCACTTCCGTGCCTTCTGCCTGAGTGAAGTATAAAATTCAGTTGAGTGACGGGAACCGAGAACGGAGTGGCGTAATTCAGTCACAGGATGTTGAGGTTATTAATCTTTTTCAGAAATGTCAGCTCATAGAGGTCTTAATTCGAATATGACATTTTGAAAATACTCCGACGCTTACAGAGATCTGAAAAACAGGTACATGTACATGTATTTTTTAATTACAACCATGAACCGAAATAAAACAAATTTTTAAAACACCTTGCACCAATGTAATTCTGTAAGGCAGACAATTTCCTTTCTCCAACAGACTGAAGCATAATTTTCATAGCATTTCCTGGGACAAAATGGTTTTTTCGATGAAATTCCAGTCAGAATCGTTAATGCTTTCATTAGATAATTGTATGATCATGGAAATTTTATTTTCGCTTTTATTCAATTAACAATACATTAGGTTACACGTGATCCATAGGAGGTTGAAAGTTGTCCACAAAATGGAATTTGAAACACATTAAACAACGCTGATTTTGCTTTAGACCCGTGAAGATTCTGGGATAGAATAGGTCTTCAGGCAACCCATGCTTGCCGTAAAAGGCGACTCACGGGATCGGGTGGTCAGGCTCGTGGTTGATGCATGTCATCGATCCCAATTGCGTGGATTGATGCTCATGATATAAATCACTGGATTGTCTGGTCCAGACTCGATTATTTACAGACCGCCGTCATATAGCTGGAATATTGCTGAGTGCGGCGTTAAACAACCAAACCAAAAAGCTTTGAATTTCAGACTTGCTCACACTGTAGATTCTGACGTGTTGCAAGGTCCTCATTTCCGGAAGTTCATGATGAAGGCACCCGTGAAGATTCCGGGGTAGGATAGATCTTCAGCAACCCATGCTTGCCGTAAAAGGTGACTATGCTTGTCGTAAAAGGCGACTAACGGGATCGGGTGGTCAGGTTCGCTGACTTGGTTGATGCATGTCATCGATCCCAATTGCGTGGATTATCCATGATGCTCATGATATAAATAACTGGATTGTCTGGTTCACACTCGATTTTTTACAGACCGCCGTCATATAGCTGGAATATTGCTGAGTGCGGCAAACCGCACCAAACCAAAACTTCCAACTATGATGAAGGCAACACTCAGTGTTACCACTGAAGATATGTTTACAATGCTATTTCTACTACGCACGCTGATTCCTTTTCCAGATTTCAAATAGGGAAATGATTCCGTATTTTATTTCAAGAAGACCCATGAAGTTTCCTGTCAGACCAAAGAGGTTCATTTAAAGGTTTTCTAAAAAGGAATGTGTGTTTCTAATTTTATTTGTTACTTGACAGGGATTCCAATTCAGTACTGGTGAATGGTATAATGACGTTGTGATGAACTTTCTGGGAACCTCGTTTAATGATAAATTTCATTTCAGTTACTAATTCATACGTTTCTAACGCCTTTGAAGTTTCTTGAATCGAGGGAAGAAAAAAAGAGACAAAGATATTAAAACTAATCACACTGATTCACACTCAGATGGTTTTACATCCCTTTCAATGTCTTTAAAATTAACCAAAAAGAATCAATACGATTCTATTCAATTCCCCATGAGTGTGCACAATCGGGCAGATTGAAATCATCCGAAAATATTCAACTATCCCAATGTTGACGATATTGTTGATCCGTCATCTAATGCCACATCTGTGGAGATAACGGAATGTAATTTTGAAAACACTTGCACTTGAAATGAAATGCAAACTGAACTGGAAATATAATGGGAAAATGCAATTATTTGTAAATATTTTGTTTGTTAACGAAGCTTTTTGACAGTTAGAAGTTTTTGTTGAAAGTTTTGTCACTAAATTGTAATTTTATATGAAAGAACTAAACTCTTAAAAAAGAAGAAGCGCGATTCCAGATTTGTGTGAGGCAGGAAAATACATTTATACGAGGAACCGTGCAAGGTATTGAGCCAAAATGTTGTGGAGTGAACAGTTCGTGATTTTAGTCATCTCAGTTATCGGTACATTGGAAAAGTCCAAGGTGAAGGTCAGCTACCATCAATAACGCGTTTGAATCGATGGCGGCCTGACATCTCCTGCCCATGGAAGAGACGAGTGTGCGAATCACATCCTGGGGAATGGTAGCCCACTCGGCCTGCAACGCAAAATCCAACTGATGCAACGTCTGGGGTTGTGGCTGACGTCGGCGAAGCCGTCTATCCAATTCATCCGACAGGTGCTCTATCGGGTTCAAATCCGGGGATCTGGAGGGCCAGAGAACATCAACATTGTTGTTGTGTAGCGCTTGTGATCGTGCTGTATACGACCGAGTGTTGTCCTGCTGGATAACACCGTTGCCGTAGGCTGCAATTTGGAGGACGTGTGCGGGGAGAATTTCGTTGATGTATCGTTGAGCCGTAAGAGTGACTTTGATATGGAGCAAACCTGTCCTGCTATGATGAGAGATAGCCTCCCACATCATAACGCTACCCCTACCAAACCTTCCACTTTCTGTACGCAGTTTCTGGCGTAACGTCCTGCAGACCCGTGCTCTTCCATCCCCCATCGTCGGAGAAGAAATCTCGATTCGTCGCTCAAACCAGACATCTCTCCATCGCAGTTGAGCCGATACCCTGTGTTGATTTCACCAAATGCAGTCCATGTTGACGACTCAAAATGACGCGTCGAACAGGACGTCTTGCTCGGTCTGATTCTGCGAAGTCCGGGTATTTGGAATGTGGATAAGGTGGCTGTGGTCGCCCTTTCACGTAGGTGGCGCAGTCGGATGTAGTGATCTTTGGCGGGGGTGGTTACTCTTGGTCGTCCTGACCTTGGACGATCACGTGTTGACCCATGCTGTTGAAACCGATCCCATAGCCTCGTCATGGTGCTGGGCGCTACATTGAAAACCCTGGCTCGGCTGATCGGGATTCCCATTCAATCAAGCGGCCTATGACGTTGTTGAAACTGTCACTGTTCGTAACAAATGTCATATTTGGGATAACACTTTTGTTAGTAAAGTACAGATTCTCTTTTTGGGGTTGAGACCCGTCCGGGATTGGAACCCACACTTGCCAGAGTGAGGCACCTAATCGCCAGCACACAAAGTCAGTGATCTAACCCACTCAGCCACCGAGGCTTCCACAAAATGACTAAGAAAGTGTTATCCCAAATGGGACATTTGTTACATTTGACCACTTCCTAAATGGCATTGTGTATTCATGTCACTGTTCGATTGACGCAGGGGGGCACGGGTGGTGGGTCTAAGGCGCCGCGAGTCGCTGTGCAGAGTTGCGTCCCATGGGCACGCCAGAAACCTATGATTGTGGGTTCGAATCCCGGTTCGCCCCGATTATGTTTCTAGGTTTGTCAGCACCATACCCGTGCTCGTGGGTTTCACCGAAGTGGTAAACGTCTGAAACCTGCATCACTTCGGGCTTTCCTCCCCCGTTACGCTGACACGCCGCGATACTGTTAAAAGCGGCGTTAAACCCTACTTACTCACTCACTCGATTGACGCAGATGCCAGGCAATCAAAAAACATGCACTTTAATACGGTTTATAGTGTTGCTGCGCGTGCAGTGCGTGCAGCTCCATGGCCCTTTAATTTTGTTAACGCACTGGGTGCGTTTTTCCGAATCGTAAGTGTTTCCCAACTAATGGTTTGCATGTCTTCGTGATCATTTTGATCCGGGAAATTTGTCACTGACACTGTAACACATTAAACCTCGTCATTAAAAGGGATCGGGTGGTCAGGCTCGCTGACTTGGTTGATGCATGTCATCGATCCAAAAAGCGTGGATCGATGCTCATGATATCAATCACTGGATTGTCTGGTCCAGACTCGATTATTTACAGACCGCCGTCATATAGCTGAGTGCGGCTTTAAACAACAAACCAACCAACCAACCTAGCTACCTCGTGTTTTTGTACATACACACATAATTGTATGATCGATAGAGATCATTGGTTGAGTGTGTTTCCGTTTCGTAAATATCACATATGAGGAATCCAAATAGTATTATGCGAGACCTTTGCAAGAACATACGTTTTACACCTAACCAAGTACATAGTGTATATGTTTATATTTCGTGAATCCCTTTCTGGAATATTGCTGAGTGCGGCTTTAAACAACAAACCAACCAACCAACCTAGCTACCTCGTGTTTTTTTACATGCACACATAATTGTATGATCGATAGAGATCATTGGTTGAGTGTGTTTCCGTTTCGTAAATATCACATATGAGGAATCCAAATAGTATTATGCGAGACCTTTGCAAGAACATACGTTTTACACCTAACCTAGTACATAGTGTATATAGAGGATTCATCACGAGTGTTTTTTAATATGGGAAATATCAACCGAGTCTTAGTTAATCGGTATTTGCCGAGCCTTTGGCGAGGCAAATACCGATTAACGGGACGTGGTTGATATTTCCCATATTAAAAAACACGAGTGATGAATTCTATTTATCATTTTCACATTTTTCCTTCCAAATTAAGGAATAATTGCATTAAACATTAACATCAGCAGCTTGTCGAAATCTTACGTATAGATCGTGCGTAGTGATACATGTTTTCCATAGCCATGTAAACCAAAATAAACAATTCGCTGAGAAAAAAAGTTCCTCGGATTATTTTAAACAAAATACTTGAACAGACTTTTGCAGAATAATTGAAACTTTAATAACGGTAACAACAACGATTCTGTGTAATCTGATTATATCTCTGGTGTAACTTCACTTATAATATATAGTTTCAAATCAAACCGCTCGCTCTTCCGGTTATCTAATTTGCATATCTAATTTGCATACTTATGTCATTGGGGTATGACATACATGTTTTTATGTCATAAGCTTATGTCATGGATAAATGCTTAAGTTAAATGATAAATGTTTATATTTCGTAATCCCTTTCTGGTGTGGTGCTAATACTGGAATATGGATAAAAGCGGCGTAAAACTATACTATCTCACTCATCCTTTGTATTTCAGACCATGAACAAGACTCTCCTCGCTGCCCTGCGGAAGCTCCTGCTGGAGCGGTTGGTGGAGAAATCGCTGCCTCTGTCCGTGCTGGATGAGCTCATCTGTAACTCAACAGTTAGAAACAGACCCTATCCCAATGATGGTGAGTAGTCGGACTGTTTTTATCATCCAAAACTGGCTCCCACAGGAGATATCGCTTGGATTAGATCAAGCAATATCTACACTGTAGATATCGCTGCAATGAAATTACATCACAATGCTTTGCAGACAATTGTGACGTCACTGGTTTCCATGACATCACAATCAAATGACATCACTAATGGCTCTGCTACTGAAGCTGTTTGCAGTACTTTTTACACTGAAGTCACTGCTAATTACTGTCTTCAAATTGTAAAAGTTGGAAGAATGATGTTGGATGATAAATAAAATCTCACCCTCGTGTCTTTTGATATCAAATATATCAACACTCGTAGATAAAAGTGGCAAAAATCCTCGCCAAGCCTCGGAATTTTTCCACTTTTATCAACTCGTGTTGATATATTTGATATCAAAAGACACTCGGGTGAGATTCTCTATGTCTCTTGAAGGACAAATCACAAACTTAACGACAATAAACGTCCTGTATATTGATTATCAATCGGAAGTCATATGCTAATACTTGGTTTGTTGCTTAACGCCGCATTCAGCAATATTCCAGCTATATGGCGGCGACCCATGAAGATCCGGGTTAGAATAGGTCTTCAGGACCCATGCTTACCGTAAAAGGCGACTAACGGCATCGGGTGGTCAGGCTCGCTGACTTGGTTGATGGGTGTCATCGTATCCAAATTGCGTGGTTTCATACCGCTGTCCTGTAGCTTGAATATTGCTGAGAGCGGCGTTCAAGAACCAAAAAACAAACAAACAAACAAAATAATAAGGTTCAGCATGTGGAGCTCCGTACAATTGTATATATATATATATATATATATATATATATAGAGAGAGAGAGAGAGAGAGAGAGAGAGAGAGAGAGAGAGAGAGAAACATCTTGAGTTTACGCATTTTTTATCAATGAAAACATACGGTAGCAACTTTTGAAATTTACGTGGAATAGGAAACTTACAAAAATACGTTTACAGAATGTTACATCTCATTAATTCATGCAGCTCATTACCGCGTACACCTAGGTTGCAAGTATGGTTTTATTTCTGGCAATATGCACAACACCATTAATAATGAGTGAGTGAGTGAGTGAGTATGGTGTTACGCCGCTTTTAGCAATATTCAAGCAATATCACGGCGGGGGACATCAGAAATGGGCTTCACACATTGTACCCATGTCGGGAATCGAACCCGGGTCTTCAGCGTGACGAGTGAACGCTTTAACCACAATGCTACCCGACCGCCCCCATTCATAATGAGGACATCACAAGGGCGATCTCAGTATGCACTTTTTGACGTCTGAAAGTTCGCAATTCGTCACGCTGCGGCCATGAGGGCTTTGGAAGAAACGCGGACGTGTTTTCGTTGAAGAGGAGCGCTCCTTCAAAGCAATGATGTTACATAGAAGATAACACAAAACATGAATAGATAAAATACATCAAAGTGAGTGAAGTAGATACATAACAGAAGATGATAAGAAATGAAAAAGACGAAAAGACATGGCGACAAAGAGATATTACAAATAGAACCATACTGTTAATGAGGGATAAGGCCATTCTCTTGATGATAACAGTGACAAAGTCCTTTCCATTGCCACAAGAAATCTCTGCCAAAAGCAGAATCGATTGTACCGTTCCGATTGTATCATGAGCATGTGTTTATGAATCACTATCAAATAGTGATGGCACCAGATGTTCGCGAAAAGGTACTAAGCATATTCTGCCGCACCGATGCCACAAACCGTCACGACCCGTGAAGATCCGGGGTACAACAGGTCTTCAGCAACCCATGCTTGTCGTAAAAGGCGACTATGCTTGTCGTAAGAAGCGACTTACGGGATCGGGTGGTCAGGCTCGCTGACTTTGTTGAAGCATGTCATCGATCCCGACCCGTGAAGATCCGGGGTAGAATACATGTAGGTCTTCAGCAACCCATGATTGCCGTAAAAGGCGACTATGCTTGTTGTAACAGGCGACTAAGGGGATCGGGGGGTCAGGCTCGCTGACTTGGTTGAAGCATGTCATCGATCCCAATTTCGTGGATCGGTGCTCATGATATCAATCACTGGATTTTTTGGTCCAGACGCGATTATTTACAGACCGTCGTCATGTAGCTGGGATATTGCTGAGTGTGGCGTTAAACAACAAACCAACCAACCAATTGCGTGGATCGATACTCATGATATCAATGACTGGATTATCTGGCGTAAAACAACCAGCCAACCAACCGCAACGAAGGCAAACAAATTGTTTACCTGAAAAAACAACAACAGGAGAACACACGGTTCAAGTCCAAATAGAGAGTTGCACCGGACCTCATTTTCGTCTCCGATGCGTCAAATTTGGAAATGTCCTTCACGCGTCTACCCCAAACCTTTTTAAAAGCTTAAATGAGTCCTTGAGGGTTGTAACCTTGATCAAGCAACTTTTGAGGAAGAGTCGTATGACGCTCTTTAAGCAAGACATGGTTACAAAGGGAGATGAGGTGAGGTGATATTGGGTTTCACGTCACGTGTGCGTGTGCTTGTACTAGTCCGGAGTGATGCCGATTTATTGTTTTACATGAATACCCAAATCAGACACAGAATAATGACTCCGAGCCGTCCAATCCTTGTTCTAGCCCCTTAATGTCGAGCGCCAGACAGGGTAACAATAAGTACCATCTTTTAACGTTGGTATGACGCGGTCAGGGATCACAACCCGGACCTTCCGCTCTACCACTAGACCACGGAGGCGGTCAAAGAGAGATGAAACATGTGACCATGATGATAGTATGTATTGCCGGTCGTATTCAAGGACATTCTCTGAATCTCTGTAGTCATTCGTTGGAACAAGGAGGTTCTTGATGTATAAAAACAGAAATTACAATTCCTTCTTTAAGATGATGTTGGCTTTCTTTCTTAGTTGATAATCGGGCAGCAATTGTTTTCGGGGCATATTCATTGGGCAGCAATTATTGTCAAGCATCGAAGATGTATGCATGGCCAAATAGCATAATTCAGATATGGAAAAACGCACTTGGAGCAATTTGAGAAGAACGTTGTATTATTATGCCTGTAATTACATAGCCTGTATTCCTCTCATACAGATAAAATAACCACTTTTCTTATGTACTGTAAGCATCTTCCGCAAGATCTATTTTGAAAATTCGAAAAATTTACATGATATCGTTTGAAAGCTGTCCTCATTTGTTTTCTTCAGCGTTTCTATTTGGCATTTCAAATCAGTGGCGGTGGGGTAGCCAAGTGATTAAAGCGTTCGCCAGTCACGCCGAAGACCCGGGTTCGATTCTCCACGTGGGTACAATGTGTTAAGCCCATTTCTGATGTCCATCCGCCGTGATATTGCTGTAATATAGCTAGAGGACGCGTAAAGTACAACTCACTCCAGCAGCATCCAAGAATGTGGGGTAGTTGTTTGGTTACAGCGTTGGCTCCACACAATGTATGAAGGCCAAGCTTGGCGTCCCATCCTTGGTATGACTGGAATATTGTTAAAAGCGGCTTAAAACTACGGAAGCCTTTTAGGGCCATTTGTTTTTTAAATTTGTTTTCGATACTATCTTGAAATTTCAAGATACTAAGTTGAAATTTCAAGAAACTAAGTTACAGAAGTTGATACTATCTTGAAATTTGAAATGTCAAGATAGTATCTACAAATTTCAACTTCTGTATCGTCTGTATCAAGAGAGTATCTTCAAATTTCAAGATTGTATCGAACAAAAATAAAAAAACAAATGGACCTAAAAGGTTTCCGTATAAAACCAAACACATTTAACAACAACATTCACAAGTACATAGATGTCATCAAATGTATGTATTGCTGTTATGGCAAATATGAATTGATAGGTCCTTAATTAAATATCACACGTCTACGCCAGAGAATATCTGTCTTCATTATCTGTCAAAGACAAAAGGAAAATACAATGAATGGATCACTGAAAATCTGTGACGGTAATAGGTGCAAGCGTCTCCTGCGTCATAAAACTGCGTCAGAATAGTATTGTTTTTCTGGTAAAAATTGCATTATGTTCGTGTACTTTGCAAATAAACATTACTGAAACACTTAGAAGCATGCGAATTTTGTAATTGTTATGGATAGGGCAATTCGTGTCCAACAATTGTGACATGACTTCTTCTGTAATGATTATGAATAGCGTGTGAGGGTTGGAGCCAGTGTAATAAGACCACAATGCAATCGAGTTCATCGGGGTTTCACAATGGACTCATAACTCCGAAGATCTGAATCGACGTTGCATTGTGTCAGTAACAACCAACAAACGACCCACGAGGACGCAATACCTTTACGCGAACACCTGGTATCGTCACTATTTCATGTGATTAATAAACACATGCTCAAAATATAGCTGGAATCATGCAATAGACACTGCTTTCGGCAGAGATTTCTAATGATTGTTGTTGGTTGGTTTGTTGTTTAACGCCGCACTCAGCAATATTCCAGCTATATGACGGCGGTCTGTAAATAATCGAGTCTGGACCAGACAATCCAGTGATTAATATCATGAACATCGATCCACGCAATTGGGATCGAAGACATGTATCAACCAAGTCAGCGAGCCTGACCACCCGATCCCGTTAGTCGCTTTTTACGACAAGCATAGTCACCTATATAACAAAAAGGTATTGTCGCTTTATTTACAACAATGCAATAGTCAAACATTACATTTTCAGAGACATAGGAACGTCCGTCGTTCCTTCCGTCCGCTTTACTCAAAAAGTATTTGAGTAAGAGAAATGAATATGTCACTCATATTACTAGTCCGAAATGAATGACGTCATGAATTAAACTTTGCATGCTTATCTATAAGATATTTGTCAAAACTGAATTCGAAAATTGGTCCCGTATATTTTTTTCCAGAGTTTCTTCTCTTGCTTCATGCTGGCTGGCTGGTTGGTTGGTTTGTTGTCAGCAATATTCCAGCTATATGACGGCGGTCTGTTAATAATCAAGTCTGGACCAGACATTCCAGTGAATAATATCATGAGCATCGATCCACGCAATAAGGATCGATGACATGTATCAACCAAGTCAGCGAGCCTGACCACCGATCCCGTTAGTCGCCTTTTACGACAAGCATAGTCACCTTTTACGGCAATCATGGGTTGCTGAAGACCTATACTACCCCGGAATCTTCACGGGTCGCTCGTTAAACAACAAACAAACAAACAAACAAACGGTGTGCATACTCGCAAGTGCATGGCGATTATGTAGACAAAGGAATCTGGTGCTGTTACACGATAGTGAAAAAGTAAAAAGATGAAGATGTAAAGTATTCTGAAGACAGAGAAGACAGGGAGAACCTCAATTATTCTTCGAAAGATTCTACTTCCAATTGTTCATTGATTGGAAATATGGAGTACTATACACTCTTGCTGGAATTTTGCTGAGTGCGGCGTTAAACAACAAACCAACCAACCAACCAGCTACGAGCATGCTGCGAACTATAAAAACCGTTTTTTCCACTGTTTGTGTCTCCTGGCCAAACCTCTCTCTTCAGTTTTCAACGAGTAAAGGAAAAGAAGATATGTTTTAAAACTTGCTCCTGGCGTTCCTGAAAAAAAGTCCACAATGTAATTAGATTCGTTACATTTATTTCATACACTTATCAAATTAGGCCATAGGCCGTGTTTTTTTAAATAGTGTGCGTTAAAATAATTCAGATAATAATACTTCCTTCATCTTGTAATAAATTTTTCAAATGCATCTTTGAAATGTCTCGTCTTTAACTTTGAGTTCTTCCTCATCGTGCACTTTGTCCGTTTTGTTCAAATTTGTTTCAAGATACAAAAACTAGCACGGGTTAAGAGTATTTACAGTAATTCTGACAATCTGTCCCTTTAGCCTTAAGTAAAATAACGTTTCATCCAGCTCCTCTAAAGGTGCCCAAAGTCATCTGTACAGAGGGCAAATGAATTCTGTTTGGTTTTCAAATGAACTAATAATCAGATTGTTCAAACAATGGGAACAAGCTCGCTCGTGGTCTTTTTGAAGTAATAGTGAAAAAGGTTTGATACGAGCTGGTCAATGTTTTGCATCATGTAGTACTTCTAAGCTGAGTTGGTTATCATTTGAGGTTTTGATAGTTTTAACAGCGCTTGTGACGATATGATCTGTTTGAACTCAATTCAGGGTGTAATTCCAAGATCAATTCCATATGGCATTTTTACCAGGGCCCCGTTCGACAAAGCGATCTTACCGTTAAGGTGATTGTACCATCCGTAATTTAACATAGACTTCTACTGCATAAGCTGAATTGTGAAAGGCTTCTTTAACACGTCTTTAGGACGAATAGGGAAAGGACTCTGTCGCTATTGGTTACGTACGTAGTCGTTGCGTTAAGATCACTGGAGTGAGTGAGTGAGTTGGGTTTTACGCCGCTTTTAACAGTATTCCAGTTATATTACGGCGTGTCAGCTTAATGTGGGAGGAAATCCCGAAGTGATGCAGGTCTCAGACGTTTACCACTTCGGAGAAACCCACGAGCACGGGTATGGTGCTGACAAACCTAGAAACATAATCGAGGCGAACCGGGATTCGAACCCACACTCATAGGTTTCTGGCGTGTCCAAGGGACGCAACTCTGCACAGCGAATCGCGGTGCCTTAGACGACTGGGCCACCCGTGCCCCCTAAGATCACTGGAACAGGGCCGAGATCGTAAATCTATTAAATTGTCATCAAAATAGGAGAAACAAATGCTTTCCTCAACGAACTGGTCCAGGTTTTAGAATCGTAACTGAATATCACCTGATGAGTTCAAAGGTATTTTGGTATTACGCGGCCGGGGCCGGACCATCGACCTCCCGGAAAGACACCAAGTCCTTTCGTCCACGGAGGCGGTCGTATGTTAAATAGGTCTCAATCCACTGATTTACCAATCGACTCTTTATTCCGGGGTAGAATAGGTCAGCAACCTATGCTTGCCGTAAAAGGTGACTATGCTTGTTGTAAAAGGCGACTAACGGGATCGGGTTGGCAGGCTCGCTGACTTGGTTGATACATGTCATCAATCCCAACTGCGTGGATCGATGCTCATGATATTAATCACTGGATTGTTTGGTCCAGACTCGATAATTAACAGACCGCCGTCATATAGCTTGAATATTGCTGAGTGCGGCGTTAAACAACAAACCAACCAACCAACCATTCGTATGTTAAATAGGTCTTAATCCACTGATTTACAAATCGACTCAAATCTACTTCATACGTTTTAGTTTTGCTATTTCCTTTGACGATGGAAACTGTTTCCTTAACATGTCCAGTGTGTTTTCTTGTGTAGTATCGTAAAGCGTATCGCGACTTTTCTAGCGAGTTTTGAATCGCTATCGTTACACACTGCCTAGTTGAAAATATTATCTGGATGTATTTTGTTTCAGGACAGCTATACTGTAACGCAACATTTGACGGGTTGCTGTGCTACAACTATACCCAAGCTGGTGAAAGCATCTCGGTTCACTGCCCAGATTATCCTGGGTTCAATACTCGAGGTAAGTACGGTAATGTGACTGTTAGCGTCACCTTGGCTGGTCAATACTCGAGGTGAGTACGGTAACGTGACAAGTGTTAGCGTCACCAAGGCTGGTCAATAATTGAGGTGCGTACGGTAATGTGACCGTGTTAGCGTCACAATGGCTGGTCAATACTTGAGGTGCGTACGGTAATGTGACCGTGTTAGCGTCACCAAGTCTGGTCAATACTCAGGCAAGTACGGTAATGTGACAGCGTTAGCGTCACAATGGCTGGTCAATACTTGAGGTGCGTACGGTAATGTGACCGTGTTAGCGTCACCAAGTGGCATACTCGAGATAAGTACGGTAATGTGACCGTATTAGCGTCACCGTGGATGGTCAATACTTAAGCTAAGTACGGTAATGTGACTGTTAGCGACACCGTGAATGGTCAATACTCGAGGCAAGTACGGTAATGTGACCGTATTAGCGTCACCGTGGATGGTCAATACTTAAGCTAGGTACGGTAATGTGACTGTTAGCGTCACCGTGGATGGTCAATACTCGAGGCAAGTACGGTAATGTTTCAGTGATAGCGTCACCATATCGGGAGTGTTTATCTTGATAACGTCTCTTGCAAGTTAATTAGGAGATCTGTGTTTTCAACCGCGCTAAACTGAATGTGGAACCGAACGCTCTACATTGAAAACATAGTATGTGTATCTCCATTCTACCATGACTAAATAAAACGCGAACTCTTTGGTGTTAGCGGATATACTGAGTGAAGCGGTATGGGTTGAGTCCAGTGTTTTGAGTGGGTTATCGTATCGATCTGAATTACGGAATCACCGAACAAAATATGGCGCTGTATATACTCAAGCAGTTTGTTTACACCGTAATACTTCACTCGAACATATGACAGGCGTTGAAAGCATATAAGCACGGCAACTTGGTAAGCTAACATGAGGTGGACATCCCTAAAGAAAACAAAGCAAGCTTTGCAAGGCTTTCGCTCGACATCGCCCGTCACCATTATGACGTCATTTCGCTCATTGTGACGCAAAAGATATGACGTCACAGAAAGGAGCCAAAATTCCAAACTCTCTTGTGTCTCCAAAACGTAAATACAATCCCTTTGTAGATTTCTAGCGTGTTTTCTGCACGAAATGTATTGCCACACATACTTTGAATATTGTAGTAACCGCATCTGTGCATTTTGTAACCTGTAATTGTAGATATAATTATTTAAATTTGCCTACCTACAATGACTGAAGTATTAGCTTCCGCGGTAATGCGGCCGTCAAACTAGCTGTTTCAATCAGAGGGGGTTTATTGTGATTTAATAACCTCTGATTGTCCAATCAGAATCGAGTAAATTCCAAATTCATCGTAGAATTCCTGATATACGATATCCCCATGTTATTTACTTTTATGATAACATGGTTTAATGTCGTTACATGCTTTCTTGTGCATCTGGAAAAGATCACTGATCAGACGTACGAGATGATTAATTGTGTACACTCGTTCATAAACAATGTCCTTATAGCCTTCAAACTCATTTCTATATATTCCGTTTGAATCAAAAGAATATAAAGAATATTTAACAACATCAAACATTTAGGCTTAGAGAAGCTTGGGCTATTTTATTTCTGGGATCAGTGGAAGGGAATTGGCTTTTTGAGAATTATTACGATATCAGATCATCGATACACCTAAAGCTGAAGTTAAGCTGAAGTTAAACTTCTTGGCCAGATTCCCTTGTTATGATTTTGCCAATCCGAGCAGAAATTCCGATTTCTGAAACAGATGAGCAAGAAAGGGGGCATCGCTGGTGCCAATCAACCAATCCACCATTTTGTTTCAGTGGATGTTTAAATGGAAGGGAATCGGCATTTGACAATTATTGAACGATATCAGATCATCGACATGGCTGATTATCAACACTGACAGCTCTCCTCTAAAAAGAACATCACCAGTGTTTTGGGAAACGTTACACCAGTCATGCTGTTCGTAGTTTTGCCACTGGTGGTCTGTATGAAATGCATGTCTTCTTTAGATTTAGGAGTCTTGTAATTAAACCTGAAGAAATCCCTACTTCAAACGCTGGGCTTCAGTCATTGCCTCTAGCTAATGTCTGCTCGGATCCCTGCGCTCGGCAGTAGAGAAGCAATTACTTTGTACAGAACTAAACCAGATACATCCATTCAAGATGGGCTGGTTATATGTCTCTCACCTAAGGGAATTTGAGATGTTTTCCTTTTCTTCCCTCTTCTTCGTTACTGCACTAATATGACTAGTATTAGTGTTTCTGGGGGCCCAGTCGTCTACGGCTTTGGTTTGTTTGTTTGTTATTTAACGCCGCACTCAGCAATATTCCAGCTATATGACGGCGGTCTGTAAAATAATCGAGTCTGGACCAGACAGACCAGTGATTTACATCATGAGCATCGACCTACGCAATTGGGATTGATGACATGTATCAACCAAGTCAGCGAGCCTGACCACCCGATCCCGTTAGTCGCCTTTTACGGCAAGTATGGGTTGCTGAAGACCTATTCTACCCCGGATCTTCACGGGTCCAGAAACCTGTAACTGTGGGTTCGAATGCAGAGTCGGCGCACCGTGCTCGTGTGTCACCGTAGCGGTAAACGTCTGAGACCTGCTTCACTGTGGGCTTTCCTCCCACATTTAGCTGACTTGCCGTGACATAACTGGAATAATGTTCAAAGCGGCGTTACACCCATTCACTCACTGTTTCTACATTTAGTGGCGACAGTTTTAACACAGCGTCCAGCATCCACCGATGTTATTGATTGGTCAGCAAATCAATGGTAAATTTAAACCAAAGTTTAATGGCCACGATGAAGTGTTCTTCGGAAGTTTTGGTCAAAAGTGTAGTGCTGGTGGACATTATTATCAACTATTTTATGATATGTGTTAATTTTTATTTCATTTATTCAAAATACAAATATTTGGCATTGTGTACGTTTGATTTAGACTGTTCCAAGCAAAACAACGCATGAAAATACAACATGACTAGGGTTCATTGAACGTGCTTTTTTGTAACTGTAGGATTGCTTTAAGTCACAGTTGGTATAAACAGTTATCACACTTTCTTGTACCTATGGTAGCAGTTAGTCTCACCAGTTAATCACTTTCATAGAGTGTACGAGGGCATTGCCTTCGAGTATCAGAAATAATTTTGTTTCGTAAGAAGATTAGGTGAAGGATTTCGAAAATCATTTTCTGTAAATTTGCAAATATCATTTGGGCTTTGGGCAAATACTTTACCCAAGAGGAGGGTTTTCTTTGAAACAATCACAGTGCAATTTGTCAGAAGAACATGTTTTTACTCCTAGAGCTTCGACGTCTGCCAATCACAGCCTTATCGTGACTGCTGAAGGAATGTTATTCTCTATTAAGATGCCAAGAAATGAATTTCCAGAGACAAAGTTTATCAGGCTACTGTGAGGGCATGTCGACAATAATTTAACAGTGGTACGTAAGAAAGTAATTTAGAAACAAAGCAAGTTCCTAAATAAGATGTGTCAAATCTAAACCGACGGCCACAAGAAACTTTACCATAAATTGTACAAAAATATGAACACAAGTTCAAACTAAATCAATGCAAGACATTTTGTCCAAAAACAGCAATGGTCTTTGCAGAAAGTTATGCACGCCCACGGCACGATGTCTTGTAGAAACTCCGAAAAAGTGAAAAACATGTGCCGCTTGGGCAGCCGAAACTACACGTGCAAATAAGGGTATATAAATGATACCAACTGCATGTCAGACGCTCGCACTGATTAAAAAACATCACCGAAATGCCACGACTGACATCCGAACAACGCAGTGTGCCATGGATATGATACAGATGGGAGTTTCTCTTGTGTTGCTGTAACTAACCTGATGCAACGTCACGCACATACCGGGCACATATGCTAAGGTGAGGTGAGGTGAAATTGGGTTTAACGTCGCGTCCAAGATTATTGCACTTATATAGCGACGTGCATGCACGTGTATGTGTGTGTGTGGCTGCTTGTACTAGTCCGGACTGATGCCGATTTATAGTGCTAGCTCACTGAGATACCATGCCGCAGTTTAACATGATTACCCCACTCAGACACAGTATACTGACTCCGAGCCGACCAGTCCTTGTTTTAGCCCCTTAATGCCGAACGCCAGACAGGGTAACAACAAGTACAATCTTTTAACGTCTTTTTGTATGACGCGGCCCGGGATCGAACCCTGGACCTTCCGCTCTCCGGGCGGACGCTCTACCACAAGACCACGGAGGCGGTCTCATATGCTAAGAATAGACCCATGGTAACTACTCCCAATGAAGTCTGGTACTTGCGTACTTTGCATCTCTTTTTCCTGACAGTGACGTCATCAGCGACGATGCCTTTGGGCATATGGTCAGGCGACTCTGAGCTCAAGGAATTAAGGCTTAAAGACCTTACAGTTATTGACAGCGCACCATCGTCGTCAGAGATTGAGATGGGCCCGGATGTCGTTGGCAGCAATCTAATGTGACATGTCATTGACTTTAGATGGTGTGCCCTTTTCCATTACGTTGAAAGCTTGTTTTAGCTACCCGACTTCAATTTAGGCAACTGTCGTGCCGATATCGGATGCTGCATGACTGAGATTTTGATCTTTTCAATACAGTTTGCTTCATGCATCTATCTTTTGTTGTTCTCAAACTTGAGTGATTATGGTAAAGTTCTTTTTGCTGTCAGTTTACGTAAAAGAGTGGCAGTGGAATTTTAGTTATTGAACAAATAAAAACACGCGACCCGATATCAGCTCATCTTAATTCCCGTTTTAGATCCTGAATTATTTTACTGTTGTACTCGTGCCCCTGTTTTAAGAGATAATCATGCAAATTGGAGTCACATTCAGAACGTTAGGCGTTCAAATGGTCGTATCAAAGATACCAGAAAGGAAAACACTGAGCCAACTGACATTTCCTGCCGAGGGAATGTTTTTCCTGAATCTTGTTAATCACATTAGTGTCAAAAGGGACAGGTCTGAGG